ATTTGTACTGATCCAATATTTTATATTAATACAAAATCTAATCATTTGATTTCTTCAGTCTCTATGAGGTTATAGATATCTTTACAAATTTTGTTCAGAAACTGAATTTTAGAAGACACACTCCTAAACACAAAATCTATTTTATGAATTGTCTTAAGCATAAGGAAACACAAATACCCACTTTTATCATTCAAGAACAAATTACTATAATGCATTGCAAAATATTTGCTAATGAAAATGCAACAATTTTTATTTACCTAACCTGTTACTTCACACTGTAGTATATAATAAATTTTATAAGGGGAAAATTTTGATTTACTCTAACATTAGCAACATGGTTTAATTCAAAAAGTCAAAAGATTTATAGAGATAATTTTTCCAATTCAAACAGTATTTTGCTGGATTTCAATTTTTCCATAGAGCTCTGAAATAAATACATGTTTTTTAGCTTTGCTTTAAGATGTGTAAAGGGGTTTCAAGTATTCTACAGATACAGACTTTAGAGAACACTGAATTCTTAAGAAAAAAAGGAGCTTTTTGTTGTTGTTTTACTCCATTGTAGGATCTTGAAGACTTTTTTTAGTCCAAAATCATTTTCACCTGCAATAATTGTGTTCAGGTTTTCTCAGCAGGTGAAGTATACATTCTTACAAGGTTTCAAATTTCAGAATTCCAACAATGCATTTAAACTGAGTATCCACTGAATCACGTTCTCTCCTCTTTGTTGTGTGTATGTGTGCCTATTATCTTCCAATTCTAATATTTATATTAAATCTTAGTCTTTTTAGCTCCCCAGAAATACCTTAGTGAACCCTCAGCAATTGCTAACCACTTAATAATTGTGAGCCGGCGAGCCCCTTCAAGTAGATCATTAACCACAGAGTGCCTGACAATTCCCAAATCCTATCCTCTGTCCAAAAGGAAAAGATAGGGCTTTGTGAGGCCGAAAGGAAGCGAAGGAAAACAAAACAAATGTAGCTCATGCTGAAAGTGAAAAGTGCTTGGACAGATTAGTATTTTCTTTTCTGCAAGGCGCCCTGCCAGACTTTTTTTTTTTTTTTTAATAGAGAAGAGTTATTTTTTTGTCTGATTTTTCAGTTTCTTGGAAAGTGTTGGTATTTACCATCCCCACCGGCCCCTCATAATTATGGTTGGTTGTTTTGTGTTTTTTCCATCCGTCCACATCACAGACTGCTGATCACTCCCCCACCCCCACCCCCTGCCTCACTCTGTCAAAACCCCCAACTCTGGGCGACCCTGGGTTTGGAAACTCCGCGGACTCCCGACGACACATCCCACTCTTCCTCTCACGCCTCTTATTTTAGTTGCAAGATCCCTCACTCCAGTTGCAGTCAAAGCCGGAAATTTTCATTTAACTACACCCCCCCTCTGGCCCCCTACTCGGAGCCGAGAGCTGGGGAGCTGAGAACCTCAGAGCACAGCCGGGTCTCGGCCGCCTCCCCTCTCTCCGGAAGGCTTTAATTTGCACACTTGCTTGCCACTGCGCAGCGAGCCCCTAACCCCCGCAGCCGCCGCCGGGTGGGTCTCCGGCAGAGTCGGCCTCCGGGGCCCCAGCCCTCACACCCCGCTGCTTCCCCCACTCGGTCCCGAGCCCCAGTCGGAGCCCCGCAGCCCCCGTCAGCCCCCAGAGAGCGGCGCGGGCGGCGCCCTCCGCCTTCCCTCCGCCCTCCGCCGCTGTGCCCACCCCTTCGCAGGAGAGAGTGCTGGTAACTCCTTCTTCCGAGCTGGTTACCTGCTTTGCGCCGCGGTGGACACGTGCGAAGCTCCAACAGACACTCGCAGCCCCCTCGGGAGGCCCGAAGCTGCCGGGCCCCTCAGGTAAGTGCTGTGCGTTCGGGTGGTGGGCTGCGGGGTGGGGTGGGGGTCCCCCGGGGAGATTTGGGAGCTTGGTCGGGGTCGGAAGCGAGAGTGTGGGTGGGGGTGACTGTGGTGTGTGTGGGGGGGGGTGTATGTCTTCCGAATCGGCTTTAGTTAACCCCTTACGAGCCGAGGCAGGCTAGTTACGGGGACCAGTTTTGGGGAGTTAGAGGAGTCTCCCCTAATCTGGCAAGAGGAGGACATCCCACAGCAGGGACACCCCCAACACTAAGAGCCTGTGCCCGCTCCCAAGTAGCCATGCGCACAAACACCCACACACTCGTGAAGCTTCCTAAAGAGGAATATAAACTCTACTCGGACACTCATAGAATAATCCACACTTTAAAATGCACTGCCTCTGGGGACTCCATGCGGGACTTTGTGTTAACGTGCCCCACATTCATTTCCCCACTAAAGCTCACTCTCCAGCTCGCGGAGGTCCGGGTGTGGCCTCCACCGACTCCACCAAGAGATAAATGTTAACGCAGGCTTCTTGCTGCCACCCCCTGCGGGGGTGTTATGCACGCAGAGTAGGGCAGAGGCGGCCCGTGCACAGGCTTGAAGCCCCACAAGGACGCACGTTTGCTTTAGTTTCCTATTTTACTTTTATAATTTAAAATATCCCAGTTAAAACGCACACCCTGCGGTGAGCAGCTCCGGGCCCCGCAGCGCGCCCCGCAGTGTGCACGTGGGGCGCATCTGCGTGTGCGCACACTGCGGGAGTCGTGGTCCCAGTGCGGCCTCTTGTCGCTGCGCTGGTGGCGACCCTTGCGGTGCTTGGCAGGCTTCGGGAGAGGCACATGAAGGATTTCATTGAGTGTGAAGACAGAGAGCAGAGACAGAAAGCAGAAGGAGGCGGCTGCAGCCTTTGTAGTCGCGGAGGAATGCGGAAATGTTGAAGCACTATGTCAAACTTTTTTGAAATGGGGTCAAGTCACATTCAGCCAGCGTGGGAAAGCAACAACAACAACAAAAAAAAGTGGAGGAGAGGGGGGAAAAAGGCACTGTTGCTCCCGTTTCTCTACTCCGGAGCCGACCGTCCGGGGAACGAGGGGGGAGAGCCAGGGCGGGCGGTGCGGGGCCGGGCCGGGGCAGCGGGCGCAGCTCCCTGCGGGGGTGGGACGTCCGCGACGCTGCTTTAGCTGCTGAGCCTCCGGTTGGACTGGGGCGGGAGGGGGATGCGGGAGGGGCGGGCTGCGCAGGCGGCGGCGGCTCCTCGGCTACCTGTGTGGCCCTAGGCCTGGCTCAGTCCCTCGTGCAGGCTGGGGGGGGGGGGCTCGGTCCTTGGCTCCCCCAGGATTTGCCTTCACCTTTTAAGGAGAGCTTTGAACGGAGTGTGTGTGAGGGTCTCTGCGCTCGCTGCGGTCCCTTCTGCCAGCACACCGTGGGGATCGCGCCATTTGTTTCTTTAATTCCTGGCAGCAGGCGAGCGGGCCAGCGGTTGCCGGGCAGGTAATTCCGAGGTGTCCCGGGGATTCCAGGCACGCGGCTGGCGTGGTGAATGTCCGGCCGAGGCCGCGGCGGCCATGGGTTGGAGGCTCCCTAGGTCCTGGATTTCAACTGTATGGTGAGGGGAAGCGTGCCCCTACCCTACCTCCCCACCCCCGCACTTCGTTGTGCCGCGGGCTCCGGTTGGGGGTGGGAGGGGTTGGCGCGTTTGGCTTTTGATGAGACCAGGCCTTAAGCCGAAAGAGGAATGGAGCCGCCACCTCTGCTATTTAAGATCCAGAAGATCTGGAGAAGATCCAGGGAGTGGGAAAAGGTTCGCGAGTCCTGGCCCCGAGGGCGCAGTCCCCTCTTTCTCACCCCCGAGGCTTGGCATTTACTCCTCCCATTCCCAGACTTTTTAAGACGAGGGTGAGTTTTGATGAGGTTGAAATTAGTTGAGAATTTCAGGGCGAGACGGTTATGCTACCTTCCTCCCGAAGTTATTCTTTAAGGAGATGACAAGGTAGAGTGCGACGAATACCCTTTCTCCCACCCTTATGGTCCCGCTCCCCCTCTACCCCCGCTCCAGGGCCCCACCGTTCCTCCTCTCCCGAGTAGCGGGAGCCCCAGCCCTCCCGACCTCATGGGTTTCCACCAGGGAGGTCCTCCGAGTCGGAGGAAGAATTACGTTTCCAATCCAGACTTCTTTACCCCAAAAAGACCATTTGTGTGTGCAAGTCGTTTTTAATGTCTCCTCGTAGAAAAACTGAAAGTAGAAAGAAAGGAAGCAATTTCCTAGCAGATGTCTGACCACCCCTTCTCGCACACTCCCAGCATCGGGTTACAGGGTCCGGGGAGCCCCCACCCACATTCTGCAGCCCCACACGGGTGGACCCACAGCCCCTCCACGGCAGCTTGTGCACAGTCCCTGAAAGCCCCAGGGCACCCCGGGAGCCCCTCTCCCTGCACGTCCAGGCCCGGGGAGGAGGGGTGGGTAGCAGTGCAACACAATGATGTAGGGATAAATATTAAGCCGTGACATTGACGTGCCCGGCACCTCCCCTCCCCCGCGCTCCCGGCACACTCTGGGCTGCTCGGCACGCCCCCTCCCGTTCCACTGCGTCCCGCGCCGAGCGCTCATCCCCGAGGGGCCCCTGCAACCTCTCCGTGCTAAGACGGCTCCAGCTCTGCAGGGAAAGAAAAGTAACTTCGCTTTTCTCGGAGGAACCAGGAAGGATTAAGCAGCCTGGGAGAGGGCAGGAGCACGCCGAGGGTAGCGTTGGGGTCTTTATGAAGTAGGAGGAGGGGAGTCTGCGGGAACCCGGAGGAAGGCGCCTGGGATGTCTGATTGCACTTTTTCTTGTCCTCCTGTCTCTTTTTTTAGGTGGAAGGATTGTGGAGTGAGACGCGCTGGGGCAGAGACTATGTAATCGCTTTGGTGTCTGTGCAGAGGACTGCGCTTCAGGGAGGGCAGAGGAGGGATCGGCTCGCTCCTTGGCGACTCGGCAGGCGGAGTTTCGCTGCGGCACCGGCGTTGCGCCCGCCCGCGGGGAGGTCGCTCCATCCAACCCCAGCGGCCGCGAGAACCCGAGCGCCTGAACGCGGTAGCCAGCGGGGGCGAGGGAGAGCGAGACCGAGCTCCGGGGCGTGAGGGAGCGGGCCGGGGAGTCCGGGAAGAGGCGAGCGGCGGTCGCGAGCGAGCCAAGCGCGCCCCCCGCCCGTGCCAGCGGTGCCGCGCCGGGCGGCGTCTGGGCGGCATGGAGAAGGACGGCCTGAGCCGCGCGGACCAGCAGTACGAGTGCGTGGCGGAGATCGGGGAGGGCGCCTATGGGAAGGTGTTCAAGGCCCGGGACCTGAAGAACGGAGGCCGTTTCGTGGCGCTGAAGCGCGTGCGGGTGCAGACGGGCGAGGAGGGCATGCCGCTCTCTACCATCCGCGAGGTGGCGGTGCTGAGGCACCTGGAGACCTTCGAGCACCCCAACGTGGTCAGGTGAGCGGGGGAGCTGCGCCCGCGCCGTCGGAGGCCACGCGCGCCAGGGAAGGGCTGGGGTTTCTTGAGGCCGGAGGGCGGCTGGGGAGGCATGGCCCGTTGTCCTTACAGAGTGAGAGTAAGTTTGGTCGACCGAGCCGCAAGCCAGAGCCCGCGACCTTCCCACGCAGGGAGCAGAAAGACGAGTCAGGAAATGGGACCTGCGCAGGCTTCCCCGCGGCGGTGCCAAGTGCTCTGTTTTCTCCCTGCTGTCCCTGAAAAGGGGGTCCAGGAAGTTGGGTGCCTTTTAGGGAATGAGCCAACCTGAGACTTGCCCTGCCAGCCCTCGCATATTTTCCCTGGCCTTTGGGGAATTTTTGAGAGGCTGAGAATAAGAGAAGTGGCAGGGTGCGGTGAAAATCAGTAGGATGAGAACTTTCCTCGTGGTGCTGAGTATAAATAAAGGTTTTTGTTTGTTTTTTTAAATAGCAACTTAAGAATATTATTGCCAGTCACGTCCAGTTTTCCTTATTGAAGTTATATAATGATAAATAAGTGTCAAGCAGGGTCGCCTGAACATTTTCTTCCACGAATATTGCTTGTTTGTGTGTATTACTAAATGTCTCTAGGCTAGCGTGGTCCTCACACTACTCAGAAGTAGTGATGTGTGAATCTAAGATATGAAATCTTTAGATGGTAAACGTTCTGCTTTTGCGTCTTCTGGAGGGGATGTGGAAAGTGGATGGAGAGACAGCATTTCTTAAAGCCTCTCTTGTGTTGTAACCAGTAATTAAACTAAAGTGTGTGTGACTAGGATAATGGTGTTTTCTTAGTGATCCTGGAATTTCCCCATTGTGTGGTTGACATTGTGTGGTGTGTCATGCTTTTCTTTTTTGAACAGATACGCTTAGTTTTAAGCAGAAAAGGAATGCATAGAAAAGTCTACAAATTCGGGTGTGATTTTTACCTATCTCAGCTCTTAAGAGAGTGTTTGAAAAAGGAAGTCTTGGGGTGTTCTTCCTGTCCTCTCATCTATCTGGGGATTCTTTTCAACAAATACATGCCTACTGTGTGTGCTGTAGATGAAATTATGTAAATAAGCACAGCTAAATATTGTTGTAAAAAGTCAAACAATTTAAGATTAGTCATCAAAGTCAAGAGACCTGAGACTGACCTTTGAAATACCAAGACCTCCAGGGACTCAGAGAGCCCAAGTGTCTACCAATCTTCTGGGGAGGTTTTGACTTGTCTTCCCTTAACCTATGTGATTTGTGTGATGCTTTGTTACCAATACAGTTAGACTAAGGCTAGAAGGCTGCAAAGAATCAGAAATACATAAATAAGGTAGTAAGTGGCTATGAAAATAGGACCCCCATTGTAAATCTCTGCTTTAGCCAGTAAAAGAGAAGGGGTGAAGGATAATGAGGCCAGGAGAATGAGTGTTTTAAGGAAGATGGGGTTATATGTAACAGCAATAGATTACCTTTTGTGTGTGCTTTCTTTGTTAAAAACCAAGATAAACTGTTCCTGTGAGTCTTTGTGATATTGGAGGGGAAGGGGGAGAGTACATTTTGTCCCCTGTAACTTAGTTATCTTCCTGGAGGGATCACCTAGGTTCTTACCAAAAAGATAAATTCCACCCCTAGAATTTTAGGATCCAAGTTTTTGTTCTCTTGTCTGTTGCCTGTGGAGTGTGTCCAGTTAAGGACCCTTATTTGTAAATAGATAAAATACTGTTCTTCCAACCTAGAGGTGTTATAGAAGCACCCCTGTGTAACACTGTCTCCTACAAAGCACTGCTCCTGTAACAGATGGTTTTTTCCATTGTGTGGGTAGATTTGGGCTAATCCATTCTTATTCTCTTGATTTATCCTCTTGAAATTGATTGGTGTTTAAAGATTTCTAACTGACCCATGACTTGGATTCTGTACTGAGAAATTTCAGGAGACAATAAATTCAAGATGAAATTATCTAAAGGTTTTTAAAAACCTTATTTTGACAGATTAAGTGCTGATGATGATGCTTATTACCTCTTAGGAGTTGTGAGGAAGAGCTGAGATAGTATAGATGAGAGCGCTGTGTAAATTTAAAATGCTTTAAATGTCCATGTATTATTTGTTTTCATACTAATTAGTGGGGCCCTCATCTCGATACAAGTTCCCAGTAAAGCATCTATTCCCCTTACCTTTTCAGTAGAACAAATCATACTCAAACCCAGACACTACAGGCTCTGAAACCAAGAAACTACTTGGATATAATGGTCAGAAAAGACCATCAGTCATGTCATGAAATTCAGTGACTTGATGATATCATCTTCACGAGCTACATATCTCTGTTCCATTTTGTTTCCTTCCTGTTCTCTTCCACCTCTGCATTGGGGCAATCATTGGTCCCCATGACTTACCTAAGTAGACGAGGAACTCAAGATTTTGCAGGTTGCTAATATTTATTCAGGTAGGGTCAGAAATCAAGGACAGGGGACAATACTTCTTTTCTTTCCAGGGGAGAGTTGTCAAAGTTGGACCCCCCCTCCCCATACCTGACTTACTGGTGGTGCCCCACAGGACCAGTAGACAGTGCTATGGCTGGTTCTTTAAAGACTTCTTAAAAGGACAGATGTCTTTGTACGTGCCTTCAAGTCATAAGTAATTGGTCATAATTATAGGCCCTTCCCACAGGTAGTTAAGCCTGTAAGCTTGAAGGAACATAATAAACATACTAGATTTTTCAAAAGTTGAGATTTGATTTTGATGGATTTGCCAGAAAGGCTGACTTGTTACTGCTGCCCTGCCTTTATGCACAGGGGTAATGACTTGAAATTCTTGTTTCCCTGTGCTTGATGTATCCCAGGCCTGGGCTTGATCAGCCAGTCAATGTCTAGGATGTAAATTTACTCTTATTTTATTGTCGGTAATCCCAAATCCTAGAGCCTTTGCCAGAATTCTGTGTGAACCTGTGTTAGAGCTTCTGCACTCCACAAAGGACTCCTCTGTTTTACCTTCTGAACTCAATCTGTATATGGGTAGATAAAATAATAATATGTTCTATCAGCAGTCTCTTGATTCACCAAATATGTAATGATGGCTTGTTGTGTACCAGACACTGCTAGAAGCTGGGGATTCATCAGTGAACAGGTCAGAAAAAGTCTCCATACTTCTAGAACTTACTTCGTAGTTTGTCGTTCTTTTTTCTCTTTTAAAATTCACTTCTCTTTATTTCCAAGCACTTGTTGTGCCATATTTAGCCTCACTAGTTGTGTAGAGCAACTAATACTTAACGATAATTTGGTTACCAGGAATTTAGTGATTGAGTAACTAATATAACCAAAACTCTAATCAGAATCAAATGCTTTTTGAAGCATTAGGGAGAGACATACAGATAGATGTGTACAAGACATTATTGACATGTAACTAAAAGATATGAACATTTGGGCTCCATGTATCTAAGAGGGATTTAGGAAGGACCTACTGGTTACCGGCAGGTTAGGTGCTGGGAATGATACTTGGGTAAATCACGCCTACTTCCCTCAAGTAATTCCCCCCTTGTCCGAAGGCGTAAGATGATCACCAAATCCTGATACGTGGCAATATTGTGTCATTACAAAGATACTGGTGAGCACCAGCATTGTCCCCAGGGATTAAATTTATTAGCGTAATTCAAATCAAGTCCTGGTTCAGAAATTGAAACTAATGGCATTTCAGTGGATAAACTTAGGATATCTGAGTATGTTAAATTATTATTGTTGGCATATTTAATCATGGCTTTAAGAAAAAACGTCAGAAAAATCCATGAACTTCAGTGATCAGTATTCAAGGAGAGTTTTCCAATTTTCTCTTTTTAAAGAGCTCAGTAACATATAGTATAAAAGGAAAATAATAATGTGATTTTCTCTAGGGAAACCAAATCATTAACGGGGTAGAAGAAACATGGCATATTATTTGGTGCAGCATAAATTTTAATTCTCAGGTGGGTTAGTTCATGGGAATCCTGAATCAAAGTATTACTTTGTGGGTGAATAATAATGTCTGTTAAGGGCTTGTTTCAATGAAAGCGGAAAAAACAGGGGTTTAATTTGCTTTTTTTTAAGTCTCAGTGTGTTAGAAGTATGTTTGCCCCTTCATTCTTTAAGAGTCCCTTGAAAAGTTTCCAATTTATCAAGGTTCTTTAAGAAATAAACATTTTCACAATTACGTTCTGCCCATTCCTTGTTCTTGCTGAAGAACTTGGTAATGCTGAATTGTTGGCTTTGCACTTGTATCCTTTTTACATAACTGTTAATACCCTGGAATTATTAGAATTTCTCTGTTAAGGAGGAAAATGGCTTATAGAAGGGAAATTTGTATAAACTTGAATATCTCTTGGTGTATTTCCCCTGTGTTTAAGATACGAACAAGTGAATATCTGAAAACAGACTCACTGTTAAAAGTAAATTATCTGTTGTTTTTTTAAAATGCCTCACTATCAATGATTCCTTAGGAATGTTCTTTCAGATTGAAACCTCTAATACTTAAATTGTGTCATTGTAAACTCATGGGCATTATTAGAGTTGGAAGGACTTTGGAAATCTTTCAGCCCTTTTATGTTTTAGGTAAAGAAATAAGGTCAGAGGTCAAGCAGCTTGTCCATCGTGCAGTTTTTAAATTGGTGACTTGTTCTAAGATCTGAGTGCCAATTTTTTTAAAAAAATTCTTTTTGTTTGTTTGATGGAAGAAGTTAAAAGAGTGAATACATTTCTAGTTTGGAAAAAATAAGCTATATGTAGACAAAGGTGCCGGTTTGCCAGGAATAAATGACATATCAATTCAGGAAATTCCTGAATTCTGCAGTATGCCCTGCTGAAGTCTATCTGTAAAAAGTATGATGATTATCCATTAAATTCTGCCTTTAAAGAATTTAGTAATAACTATGATCGTATAAACAGCTGTAGTTAAAAAATAACACAGGTTAATAATACACTTGAGTAATAATAGTGAATTAATTTTAGACAAAACAGGAAAAATCAAAATGCTTGTCTGATGAAT